GTGAGTTCTTATTGCAATAATATTTTCTATAGTTGTTTTGACGTGACTGGAGAGGCAGGGTGTTCTGGTGGGTCCTGCTCCGGAGCTGCGGGCAGGTGTCCCACTGTCCGGGCTGGAGAGGCAGGAGACTGACCACTGCTGGACTCTCTCAGTAGTATATAGTTCCTTTACTCCACATGTGCGTTTGCCAATACGTCTGGTTATTGCACTTTTGTAAATCAGGGACATGGTTATTGCACTTTTGTAAATCAGGGACATGGTTATTGCACTTTTGTAAATCAGGGACATGGTTATTGCACTTTTGTAAATCAGGGACATGGTTATTGCACTTTTGTAAATCAGGGACATGGTTATTGCACTTTTGTAAATCAGGGACATGGTTATTGCACTTTTGTAAATCAGGGACATGGTTATTGCACTTTTGTAAATCAGGGACATGGTTATTGCACTTTTGTAAATCAGGGACGTGGACGTGCGGTTGTGTGATTTACCAAAGAAGAGCAGCTTTAAGGTCTTTGCAAAGTGTTGACGACGTCCAGGTCTGAGGCAGGTCTACTGTATACGTCTCACTGGCACTAAACTGCACACAGACCCAGACCCAGACCCAGACTCAGACCCAGACCCAGACCCAGACTCAGACCCAGACACAGACCCTGGTGCTGGGTCTGTGCTCTTTTTACTGTACAGCTTTTGCTCTATGAACCTTCTCAGCTCATGCCATGTGTCTTCTCCCGTTTACTCACTTTCTCTCACTGGAGAAACTGTGCTTTACAGTAAAACAAATGTTTAAATGCCTTATAGTTTTATATAGTTTATTTTATTTTATAGTAAATTCTAAAGTGCTTAGAAGAAAGAAACAAAGTATATAGACAATACATGCAATCCATACAAGTCTGGTTGCCATGGTTATAACGTAGTTCTAACTCTGTTATCCTATTCTTTACTGCTCCTGCTGAACCCTGACCACACACACATTCATAGAGGGCAGGTTAAATTCATGAACTGTGGGTTTTTTGTTTTTTGTGTTATGCTTACTGAATGTATAAAGATATATAGATAAATAGATAGATATATAGATAGATGACATAGACTAATAGACAGACACATACATAGATAGACGGATGGATTTACTGTACTTATATACACATAGATAGATAGATACAGATAGACATACACACATAGATAGATGGACAGATAGATAGATTTATTGTACTTATACATACACATCGATAGATAGACAGATAAGTATATAATAGATGGAGAGAGAGAGACAGACATATAGATTTGTTATACGTATATACATAGATAGATAGACTAACGTGACCAGAGCCTGTGGTTGAAAGAAGAAGGCAACAAAAACAGACTGTAACCTTGAACAATCCTCCGTTCACAGACAGCACCGAGCTGAGAGGTGTGAGCTCAGTGTGAGAATGGTCATTAAATAAACAATGTAGCAGGAAATATTCAGTCTTCCAGCAACTTCCCTTCTGCTTCTTCTGGGTCAAATAGAGATGAATGATCATAGTTGCGTTGTAGACATTGATTCATGGAGTGTGATGATCCAAAGCAGCTCTGACGGCCCTGATCCCATGTTGCAGAAGCCTTTCTCTGGATCCAGGTTGTATTTTGTGTCACGTCAGAGCCACGTCTGAACGGTTCTTCATCCATGACTGAAGGATGCTCTTGTTTTGTCGTGAGCAGAGGAGCAAAGAGTGAAGTGGCATCGATACACATGTTTTTGTAGCGGGTCTGCGTGAAGTGTTGTGCTGAGTGCTGTGTGTGTTTACTCTGAGGCTCCTGAGAAAGACTTCAGTCATCACCTCCTCACTCTGTCGTGTGTGTGAGAGAGAAGTGTAGCTCAGGGAACTCCATCTGCTGTCAGGGCACTGTCTGACTCTGAATCAGTTCGAACAAATTGCATTTCTCCAAAGAAAGAGGATGTGAGGGTGAGGTAAACGCCGCAAAGTCTAAATTTGAACTTGCCTTAAAGCCAGATTTGCGAATGCGACGAGCAAAAATACCTTGTTTTAAAAAGATACAAGAAATGTCTCACTTGGAATGAGAAAATAAAACAACAGTTCTTTAATTAAGTCTGTTACAAGAGTTAAAAAGTGCTTTGTGACTCTGGTCTGTGAAAGGCACTTTATAAATTACTTACTTACTAAATGGCTTTATCCCATTGGGGAATTTGTTTTTACACAGTCAGAATTACCTCAAAATTAAGATAAAAACCACTCGATTAAAGTATTTATGACCTTATATAGAAGTGAGTTGAGCTGTTTGCGGGAGTGATGTGGGAAATATTAACAAAAAATCCCACATTCGACAATATTTATGGACTTTTATCAACTTTTATGGACATTGGTCTCTTCCCCTTTATGGACCAATGGCTTCATGTGTTTATCTATCACTGCATTTTCTGTGTTTGAATTGAATCCACACAAAACTACACACACATTGATATTGTACACATGCTTTACTGTGGTATAGACCCATTTCTTTGGTGTCTGAGGAGTTTGGTGTTGGTCTGTCCCTAAACCCACTGCAGCCTTTTAGCACAGAGAGGCAGGTCTGAAGTGTGTGTGTGTGTCTGAAGAGTGTGTGTCTGAGGTGTGTGTGTCTGAAGTGTGTGTGTCTGAAGTGTGAGTCAGCCTGTGGCCTCTCCAGTTGGGTCTGATTGACGGGCTGAACGCCACACTCCGACACAGAACCCATGTGTTTGTCCATCAGCGTGGTGCGTTTAAGTGTCACGTATGCCACAGTGTGAGTATTACAAGCACTTAATAAAATAATTAGTGGTTTTGGGGCTTTTTTGGGTTTTTTTTCTCCTGCAAGTTCAAAGCAGGTTGTTGCTCTGGGCTGTGGACTAGAGGTTTCTCTTGTGCAATGGAAAAAAGAGACTTGTTTTCCTGTCAGGGGGCTTTTTGGGAAAACCGCAGCACTGCCTACCGCACCGGCCTTCAAAGGGCCACGGAGCACCTTCCTTCTCCCTGTGAAAGTTTTCTCGTGGAGGACTGGGGCAGACACTCACCTGCTTTAGACCACTGTGGGAGCTACATCTTTAGGACCATGGAATATTTCAGGTCATTGCAATTCAATTCAGACCTATAGTGCACAACAGAATTTATTCGGGGGACATCGCCGCCAACACAGATCGGAGAATAAAACGGTTCGAATTCAGGAATTGCAACGATTAAAAACGCATAGATTCAGATTCAGACGATGTCAAGGTGCGGACGTTTTGACCATTTTGACCTGTTTTTTATTTTGCTAATTGTTCTCTTGTTCTCTTGGAGTTTGAGTTGCCTAGCTGTTGATTTGTCTTGTCTTGTTTTCAGTCTGGAATTTTTGTGTTTTGACATCACCTTGGATTTATTTTATCATCAATATGTGTCATTTTGGATTCCCCTTTTTCTTCATTTCCCCACGAGACAGACACATTTATTTATCCCACTAGGAACAATTCACTTGAGCAGCACAGGGCATAAAAACACCATAATCAATTTGATATGATGTGGTGTCCATACAAACATATATACAGTACAACAATACAAGCTCAGACACATAAGCAGCAGATGACCAATGTCCATAAATGTCTTTGAACGTGGACTGTCCTGGATCATCGCCACTGTCCTAAGACCAGGGATGTCCAAACCTTTTAGTACGAGGGCCACTTTAGTTCACCAGACTTGTCCAGTGGGCTGACAACCTAGATTCTAGAACTATTTTGACTGGATTTGGGCAACAATGTCAGTATATACAAAAAAAATCCTCGGCTGGATTCAAGAGGATTTGGGATTTACAACAAAGTATATCATGCCTGTATTGAGCTGAAGTTGACTGAATGACTCTAATCTCAATTGTTGCTTTGTGTTAGCAAGGCAGAAGACCACATATATTGGAACTAAGGGGCCGCATTTGGCACTGGGGCCGTAGTTTGGACATGCCTGCCTTTAGACCCACCTGCATCGACAAGGAAAAAAAAATCAAAAAACCCAGTGGGAGAAAAAAACGGAGGGTGGGAGGCAATAGATTACGGACTCAGGCTGTAGAACGAGGACTAAGGCCAGGCAAGGTCAGGGTTTACCTTCAAATACCTCTACATGGCCTGTACTGTGACGTCCTTTGAGGGGGAGTCTGGCTGGGGGTGCGCCCTTCTCTCCCATCTGCCTCCTGGAAACACATGGAGGAGTATTGTTCCCAGGATCAGGGCCGATGTGGAAGAAAGGAAATCTGTGAACTGGTGTCCTCTCACTCCCACATCTTCTCACGAGGACAGAGCGGGGACTGTGGACCTTGTAACACAGGCTGATTATGTCCATGGTCTCAATGCTGCTTTGAAGTACACAGTTCTGTGCACCTTTAAATGTGCTGCTGTTCAGTCCAAACGTGTGCGTCATGTTTAGAATGTTTACGTTATACACATACAACCCGCTAGTCGCCATTAGCTCCACGACTCCCAGAACTCTGAGAACACTGGATCTCCCTGAGCAGACACTTTGATGGCACCCCTTCAAATCAATGGAATTCCCCCCAAATTTTTTTTTTCAAAGAAGCGAGAAGTTTGTTTTCCACCAGTTACTTACTTTTATCAAGTGCTAAAACTGGTTAATATAACTTAAAATACAGAAAAAAAAAGTTGGGTGAAAGGCTAAATGCTAACGGCTGCTAGTAAACAGTGTGTTGCCATGGTAACTAGCATTGGTGCTGCTCTGGTGGAAAACCAAGATAAAAACAGAAAAAGTCATAAAGTTAAGAAGACCACAAATGTACATAAGCTAAAAGAGATTGAGATTGGACTTTATTATCTCAAAACGGAGAAATTCAGAAAAAAATGGTCAAATTGACTGCTTTGGGAGTTCTCGTGCTACTGATTCTTTGGCTTTCGGTACCTGTGATACCCGCTCTGAACCAGCACCAGTGAAGGGAGTAAATGCATTGGTCATTTCCCCTTGAATCACAGCTAACAACCACTGAGGTAACTACAGAACTACTTAGTG